ACACACACACACACACACACACACACACACACACACACACACACACACACACACACAAAACGCACCAGTAAGAATGACTCCTAGTAAGATCCAGGCGGAAAGGAAAAGGTTTCCAGCCAGTGGTTTGTAGGCTGTGGTCAGTCTGCCTTGGATCAGTGTGAAAATGATCCCAAAAATCTGCACAAAAACACAACAGTTAACAGATAACAACCACAGCCTGTTAGATTTATTAAAAATATCAAAGTCAAGTTAAAGCAGCCAACTTTTAAATATCTATAGAGCAGAACAGAAAGACTGGACTCGGCTGAGGCGTGTCAAAGTATTAAAATGAGACGGTTTTGCATTGAAAATGTTCCAACGTTCAGTTTGTCTCCTGTCCACGGCCCGGGTAGGACGGTACCTGAGCGAAAGCATTGAGGAGTCCTGAAGACGTTCCTTCAGACTCCGGATACGTGATCTCCACCCCGAACTCAAAGCCCAGAGGCAGGTAACCTGTCATAAAAAACCTGGACAGCACAACGCATGAAACCCAGTTTAGAACGGAAGAAAATTACAACCCTGGAAATGTTGTTTTAACTAAATAAAATCCATGTTCTACCCGAGGACTCCAGCTGTGAAAAAGACCAGGTAGATGTTGTCCAGGTTCAGGGTGAAGGTGAAGACGATCATGCCGACAAACGACAGGATGTACACGATCAGAGTTGTAACTCTGAAACAAGAAGGTGAAAAACATGAGTTTTGTTTCTCCTGTAAGAAAACAACCCAAACCCATCAGATGGAATAAAGAACTCAAACAGGACTATTCAACTGGTGCCAGTGACCAAAGTTCGGCCCGCCATTTGGTTCTTTTATCTCTTAAAGGGGCAATATCATGTAAAATCAACTTTTTTGAGTTTTATATCATGTTATAATGTTATACTCTCATAAAAAACATGCCCAAAGCCTTGCTTTGACTCATTCATGCATGTTTGAGAAATTCTGCAGCGTTTTTATGAAGCCATGCTGAGGAGCAAAACGACAGGTGGGGACCAGAAACACCTTTTGGTACCAGAAACACTTCTGGGACGTGTCTTTAACCCTGGTGCGTCTGGGCGGGGTCAGAGGGACCCCGTGTAGGCGGGGTCTCTGCGACCCCGTTTGTTTTTTTTTTATATAGACGGTGCGTGTGGGGTCAGAG